CCGTCACGTGCCCTGGGGACCGTCACGTGCCCTGGGGACTCTCGCGTAAACAACCATTTACGCGCGCACCATTCAATCCCACTTGAGCGCACCCGCACACAACCACACTTACACACACACACCCAACCATACTCCTACACACCGATTGGTTTGCGCTCGCTGCCCCGCAGAGGTCCCGCCAAGCCCCCATCCCCCTAAAGAAGAGCAGCGGCGGCGGCGGCGAGGGCGAAGTCGCCGCAGAGCTTCACACACACCTCGTTTGCCCGTCTCCTCTCCTCCTCCCCCGCCGGGGGCGGGCCGGTCGCAGGGTCTCCAAAGGGGGGCCGCCGCCGCCGGCCGGGCCCCCTGTGCGCGCGCGCCTGCCAGCCCAGCGGCCGGCGAGTGCGCCTCGGAGGGGAGGACGGGCCGCCGTCGCCTAGCAACGCCGCCCCCCGCCCACTCGCGCAGTGGGCCCGGCCCGGCGCGTCGAGCGCGCCTTTTTACCTTATCCATCAAGTCAGTTTTTGACTTGATTTCGCGATGCTCCTTTCGCCATCTGGTGGAGAAAAAAGGTATCACTCAGGCGAGAAACAAAAACACACACACACAAAAAACAAAACTCAAAGAGATTTGAATTAAACCTAAAAATCTTCTTTTAAGCGTGAGGATGTACAATTCCCTGTTCCAATGAATCATTGATGCCTTTTTTATGTGGAGAGGTTTAGGGCAGCATGCCTGCTCTTCTGCCCTACCAAGCAAATTTCGCGATGTTCCTTTCGCCATCTGGTGGAGAAAGAAGGTATCACTCGGGCGAAAAAAAAGTCATATTTGAATTGCATGTACACGTAGGCTTTCGCGCCTCTAGTTCATAACTTCTAGGCTGTCCGGGTGAACCGTCACTACCCTGAAGAAACCTGCGATATGACAGGCGAAACGTCGGTCTCTCTGCCAACGACGCGGCGTCACCCGGACTGCCTAGAGGTCTTACTTGAATTACGTTCTCAGATCATCATACCTCCTGTTCTTCCTAATCAGGCAAATTTCGTGTGGTTCCTTTTGCCAGAAATATATGGTGTCGTTCGAGCAACGAAACAGAATCTTCTTTATGCTCCAGGATCTTTTACATTCAGTGAACCTACAACATGGGACAGTCGTATTTACATCGCCGCCGCAGGAAGGGAAGACGTTGGAAGAGAATTTTGAATCAGGTTGGAAGCCTCGAATTTTGGGTGTTACAATATGATACTGTAACCGGTACAGTAACTATGTGGCTGTTCAGTAATGCGAGGGATTATTTGACACTCGCTGAAGCCATTTGTGGGTGGGGGTCGCTAGTTAACGGGTATAAATTATTCGCATTTTACATACTTTGGCTAATTCATGCTTTAAAGGCCAAGTGGAGCATCTTCGCATTGTATATATGTAGCTAGAACGGAAGGCATGTACATTACAAAACATTTGTTTTAAAAAATATTATTAAAATGCTTTTTTTCTGTGATTATTTTTTTCGAGTGTAATCAAATTGCGATGAAATTAAACCACACAGGCTCTTTGAAATTTGGTATTTACGTCGTCTGTTTATGCCATCTTCGTTTTATGTTATGATTCACATACATATTCTTATCTCATTTTCGACGTGATTTGTGTCAACTCTCACATTATTTTCGCGGTGATTTTGAAGTAATGTAAATTATTCGTCCGATGAGTGTGTTAAAGGAGCTTAAATTTAAAAAACCGGACTGAACTGTTGTACAGTAGCCCATCAACACCCCTCTTTTGCAGATCACGATATAGATTGTGACTTGTAGCTGCGACGGCGATTTGTCGTGGGATACCACACCCATCATGCATTACGCGGTATTCGAACCCACAACCTTTGACTTTGTGAATATACATCTTGCTTCTTCGTGTACATACAACCTGTTATTTCGTGTATTTAAAACGCTGCTACTTCCTGTAGCTACCCCCTGAGCCAGCGACGCAGGATTATGATGTATTGCATCATATTTACATGGACGTGTGAAGAGCCAGTTCGTAGTGAAAACACCCAAGCCGTTCTTCGGACTCGAACCCACAAGCGTTTGGCATTGTGGCGGCGGCGATGGTGTAACGGTTAGCGTACTGGACTGTTGTACCCAAGTTGGGGGGTTCAATCCCGATCGACGCCGTGGATTTTTTAAGGGCGAAAAAATCCTTCGGAGGGGAAGTAAAGCCGGCTGTCCCATGTTAGTAGATTTACTTGCATGTAAAAGATCCTCAAGCCTAAATGACGTAGCCTCTGAGCTAAATTCAAATCGCCTGTTTCTCGCCCAAGATACACCTCCTTTCTCTGCTAGTTGATGAGCGTAGCGAAATTTGCGTGGTCAGACGGAACAGCGGGCCTAATGGCCTGAGTCTCGCCACATAAAATAAGGCAAATTCTATTCAAATTCAAATTCAAATTCAAATTCAATTCAAGCGTTAGGCTTTGCGTACTTGGACTCGCTCCAATTCCTTGCGTTACGTTTTAGGCCGGGACCACTGTGCTAAGTGCATGCACGTACGAAAAAGTTTATTAGGACTAACTTTCTTGCTGTTTTTCCAGCCTAGGCCGTTTACCGCATGAAAAATAGCTAGGTACGGAGTTTACATTTTATCCCTTATTCTTTCCCACGTGAATAAATCGAATGCGAGATCGTGGAGAACGAATATTCGATGGCACTACTGACGAAGTAACAAACTTCCCCACTGACTTCTATCAGAGATCAAGAAAGCGTACGCAATTAGTGATTCTGTATTTACAGTCTAGAAGCAAGACAAGGAGTCATTTGGTATTTGCTCAATGGGCAAGAGAAAGTGGACAGTAGAGCTCATCGAGTGTTATATCTTTAATGTTGTAAAACGATATGTAGATCTTGTGTGACTACTACCCTTACTACCCCTACACTCGCACTTCTAGTTGACCAGCGCGGATTTCTCTCGCCACTAGAGAGGGTGAACGCCTGAGTAATAACTCTTACCCTCACACACACACACACACACGCACACGCACACACTCCTGGGGGTAGAAATGCACCGTTGCACTGTTATTCGGGACAGTCTAAAGGCGATGCCGAAACGTGTGTATCGCGATAAGTACATCCAACCGTAGCCTGGGTAAGGCCATCTCGCCAGCTCCAGACTACAAACTTTCCGAGTTGGCATCTGAACTCTTTACTGCGCTCACTGCATTCGGGACAAGTCCCTCCACACTACTCGTGAGTAGGGGGAGGGGGTTAAAGAAATATCATTTTTCTTTCACTTTAGAACAACACTATAGTCATTAATTTTATGTAATAACAAAAGGAAATAGCCCATTTTATTGATTTTTGTCGTATTTTTCGTCGATTTCGACTAATCAGTCATTTTTTAACTTTTTCAGTAACTTTTTAGGCATTTTTGATACTGAATTCATCGATCTTAATACCATTTTAATGGTACTTGCTTCAAACGATATTTACGAGGTTCAACAAATGTTCACCATAGAATTCCTGAGTAACCTATTTGATTTCTTCGCTTGTATATAGTATTGTCAGCCATTGTGCGTACTATGTAATCTAAGGTTCCTGTGACGCCGATAGGCGCCATTGTCAGTCTGGCCCATTTCGCGATAAATAAAGGCAGAGATTTTCTTTTAAAGGGCAGTGCAAATCCAAAGTTGCAAGCTGAGTTCACTTGAACAAAAGGAAGAAGTCAAGAT